CCCCCCCCCCCCCCATTCCTTTGAATGGCATTGATAAGTACTGTAATAGGCACAAAGAACCTACTACATTTGCATTATCTGTATTGTAGGTCCTGGACCAGGCTTAACTCATTACTGCAGTAGAAAAAAAAGTTAGGTCTTGCACTTGGCTGTGCTATCCGTCAGGATGCCGGGATCATTAGGTAGGTAGGTAGGGAAGTTCACCTATATGCGCAGGGCCGGATTTACTCTCTTTGCTGCCCCAAGGCCAGGTTCCTCAATGTGATCCCCCCCCCCCCACATGGAGAATGGCAGACCTGCAGGCTGCATACAATGTCGCCAAGATCACTTGTACAAAACAAGCGGCAGCTTCCCTGCGTACATTTAGCTCTGCTTGCCCAAAGCAGTGCTAAATGTAGAAAACAACTACCCGGGCATCGGGAGATAGGAATCCCACACCCCTGCTGCCCCTCTACTCCCTGCTGCCCCGAGGCCGAGCCTTGGTTGGCCTTGTGGGAAATCCGGCCCTGTATATGCGTATGTATTTGCTTGCCCAGAGTTCAGCTTTAACTTCTCGTGTGTAGAACTGCCTCATTTGATCAATCGGAGCAGTGAACAGCCTCTAGAGATGTAGAAAGCTCTCACTTACCAGCGGTGAATAGAGTCAGTGCTGGCCTTAGGTCTTCTGACCCACACTAGGCCTCACTGTGAATACACAGGATACCTTAAACCTGTTGCCATTAGCTGCAAATGGCAACACAACAGAGGCAGGCATTGTGACAAGCAGCAGGATATATTGTGGATGCCTTTCACTGGGAAACAGAGGCCTTCTTCTCTACTGGAGAGATATGCGATGTGACTAGAAGTTCAATGCGGATCTGAGAATGCCGGGTCCGCGCTCTGCCATTGTTCCCTATGCTAATGTTGGGACTCGGAGCTCGAGCTGTCCTGTTCTTCTACCGGCAGGCGCTGTGAAATGTGTCGCCAGCCTTTCAGCCCCCACAAACACTTTCTGTGGACACTTGTCAAGTTTGGATTCTAATATAAAGTCAGTAAGACAATGACCTCACAAAGGAGATAAAATCCTTTGTGCCGTCTCCAAATATTTTATGTGTACGTTTTTTTAACTATTACATATAGGCCCTTCTGTAAAGTGTATGTGCAATAGTGTACTGCAATAGGCACCGTCGCTCATGAATAGTGAGGTGAAGGAGGGAACCTCGATTTCGGAATCTGGAGCTGGTATTTTTATTGTAGAGCACCCAGGTTTTTGGGAGCCCTGGAAGCCATTGACAGGTATATGCAGGCTCCTCCAAAATATGCCTGTAGAGTTGAAGAGAGCCTGTCACCTGCTGCAGGTAGCACAGAAAAACAAAGTATTTTGAAGCGGTGAGTCGTTACATGCTGCCCAGCTTCCTGATTGACCAGGAAGCTGGCTCCATGCTCCCTGGTGATTAGCGAGCGTGGAGCTGGTTTCCCAGCCAATCAGGAAGCCGGGCGGCGTGTAATGACTCGCCGCCCAGCTTCGTGATACCGGAAGTTAAGGTATCGGAATAAGTATCGGGAGTATTTGGCCAAAATTCGCCCAAATACTCGGTATCGGCACCAATACTAGTATTGGTATCGTTGCATTCCTACTGTTTATCTTTTTACTATTTATATATTTGTTTTACACATTAACATTTAATACAGGGTCCACCATTGCACATGTTGCCAAGAGCCCTATGAATGTTCTATACAGAGAGCAGAAGATGTTTCCTTTCAGGCTTCCTCTCTATCAGGGCTGCACCTAAGGCAATTTGTTTCCTGGGGGGAATACTGGCAGGGAATGGTCACTTGTCGTTCGGGGGGAAGATGCTGGACCGTGCTGTCAGCGGTTCTGTCTGGCATCTCGCCCAGCTCCTGGCAACCAGTGATGTCAATTAGCTGGGTGGAAAGCCGTACAGAGCGTCCCAGGTTCTTAAAGGAGTACTATGAGGTGAGTGCTTTTCACTCACCTCATAGTTCTAGCCGACCTGTGACAATGAGACTGTCACATGTCGGCTCAGTAGATCGGGAGGTGAGCGAACACATACCGGCGTTCGCTCACCTCTCGATCCTGTCCCTGCCGTGACAGGGGAGGGGCTGGATTCCCCCCTCCCCGCTCCGATCCGCCTGCGCTGACTGGCGGAACGGACGGGGAGGGGGCGGGTACAGCTGGCTCTGCCTCTAGATAGGCAGAGCCAGCTGTCAGTCACGCAGCTGGGCGGATCCCGGCACAATTGTCGGGATCTGCTTCAGCTGCGGCGTCTCAGTATACCGCGAGCAGCAGCTTGCGGTATACTGCGTCGTCTCAGTATACCGCGAGCTACAGCTCGCGGTATACTGAGCCTAGGGTGACGGGAGGACGCTAGTTTGTGTCCTCCCGTTACCCTAAGGAGAACTATGGGGAAAAGCCTTAACCCCATAGTTCTCCTTTAAGAGTTCTTAGCAACCTGGGATGCTGTGGCTGCCCCCCTCCTTAAAGATAAAGTGGCCCTTGCTAAAATGCTGCATTAAAACTGCAAAAGCAGCCTACTGAGGGAAAGTTATATCAAATACTTTAAAAATGCCATTCCCCCAGCTTCTGCCTGTGGCACCTAAACAAGGATGACGTTACCCTAATTTCAGCAAGATCCTGGGCAATGCGGAGTAGCCCAAATCTTCCAAAACAATCCTGCACTGTGCTGCAGTATCTTCTTGCAAAATCTGGCCATTGCCTATTATCTCATCGGTAGAATGGACACCAGTGACATGTCACCCTATGCAATACATAAGCCAGGGAAAAGGTAGGTATATTAACAAACTTTTTTCCCCCACTGTTTTTTTTATTTCACAATTTTTTTTTTACAATAAAAAAAAAGAGATTGAGGACACAGAGTCCTCAATCTCTTTTTTTGCAGCTCCAGCACTGAATGAACAGGAATCCTCTGTACTGTACTGAGTGTTCCTGTTCATTCATAAACTGCACAATGATGAATGAACAGGAAGTAATGTAGGATACATACTATGTCGGTCTCATTTGACAGCTGACTCCTCCCCCTCAAACCCCCCCCCCCCCCTCTGCTCAGTCTCCAGTGACAGCTGGCAGCAGTCACCGCCCACATATCGCTCTCCTGATCTGTTACAGGAGGCTGAGTGGGGCGAAGTGGGAGGAGAGCTCAGCCTCCTGTGACACGCTCACAGCGCCCTCCTCCTCGCCCCGCTTGGCTACTGACAGTTTCTCTCCTCTGCGCTGGACGCTGCACTGTGTCAGAGGGGACACAGAGCAGCGCACAGCAACGAGGAGAGAAACCAGGGATGCACCACAATTTCGGCCGAAAGATGGCACCTTCGGCATTTTGCCCAAAGTGCCATTGTCGGCCGATATGTTTAGGCGGCCGAAATTTTGGTGCATCCCTAGTAACTATAATGTCTTCATTATATGTGCTGCAGAAATTGTTGGCGCTATATACATCCTGTATAATAATAATATTGAGTTCTGTAAAAAAAGTCCACCAAAGCAGATATTGAATGCCTACAAAACACATGAAAATTACCTGAGAGCTCCATCTTGTGGCTAATAATGAAAATACCACCAGCTTTAATGTGACTTTTCCCATTTACCTAACTTAAGTGACACTAACCTCGGGAGTTAAATCTTAAAAACGCATTCAAGTACCTAAACTAGTAACAAAAATGTATCTTATTTGTGTATCACTCGGCTGTAGATCCTCAAATCATCTCTGAATTGGTGCCGACACTGTCCTTCCTTCTGTGGCTACTTTTGTTCTCCATGTGTGTCTTAAGTAGTCACCGCTCCAAGCTCGCTCCTGTGATGGACTACAATCTCATGTTTAGTTTACTAAATTGTATTAAGATTTTAGTCAATCACGGGAGTGAGCTTGGAGCGGTGACTACTTTACAACACATACAGGGACCATGGGGAACAAAAGTAGCCACCCTCCAGAAGGAAAACACAGTGTCAGCACCAATTCAGAGATGATTTGAGGATCTACAGCCGAGTGATACACAATACACAGTGACACACAAATAAGATATATTTTGATTAATAGTTAAGGTTTTTGAAAGTATTTTTAAGATTTAACTCCTGAGTTTAGTGTCACTTTAAAAAATAAAAACTTTCTTGAAATGTTTTCCTTTTTCAGGTCTGACCATAATAAATGAAAAACAATACAAACCCCGTACACATTCTCTTTTACAGCACCGCCAAACAGCTCCAAGGCTTCCTTTTATCATGCATTCTTTCTTGTAGATCTCCAATTAACATTCACATTCCAGCACAGCAAAATATTTCATTCAATAATTCGAGAACAACACAACACAAACCTTCCACGGAGTCATCAAACAGCCGACCCCACTGAGCATTAAACAATGAGCCCCCTCCTGCCCAGGGGAAGCAGATTAGTCTGGTGATGGCGTCTGGCCGTCGGTAGAAGCAGTTTACAGCCTTGTCCATTCCTTTAAAAAATAAATAAAGAGAAAACAATATTATGCTGAGAACACGGTAATGAAAAAAATATAATTATTTCCTCTTTATTATTTTCAAAACTTTCATTTTTTATTAAATATTTTAATTTTTTACTTTACTTTTAGGGACTTCGGGGAAATATTAGGGGTTAAACAGACCCCTAAACAGACCCCTGATATTTCCCTTTTAAAATAGAAAAAGAGATTGAGGACATTGAGTCCTCAATCTCTTTTTCTGCAGCCCCTGTTATAAATGAACAGGAATCCTCTGAGTGTTCCTGTTCATTCAAAACATGAGAACAGAGTGTGTTTACTATAACCAGAATCATGAATGAATCCCGCAGCGCTCTCCTCCCGCAGCGCTCAGCCAGCTGTCACTTTCTCTCCTCCCCACTGGGTCACAGAGCAGCGCCCAGCGGGGAGGAAAGAAAGCAGGGATGCGCCGATGTATCGGCAGCAAAATGGCACTTTCCACATTTAGCCAAAAGTGCAATTTTTGGCTAAATTCTGAGCAGTCACCAGAATAGGAATAGAGTGGAATCTTCCAATTGGGGACGCTTGTTCCAGTGACAACTAAGAAGGCATTCTTTCCGTTTGGAGAGATTTACTCTTACTTCCTGTTGCATCTATGGGACAGTAAAACTGACAGTAAAGTAAAAAAAAAAACTGACAGGTGTTTTAACCATTCCCTGCTCTATGCACAATTGAAAGAATCTGTTGGCTTTATATCCAGTGGCGTAAATAGGGGGTGCGGCCCGCACCAGGTGACACCTTCAGAGGAGGTGATATCAAAATGATTCACAGACATTTTGGTGTCACCCCCTCTGAAAAGTTTGGCACTTGTTTATGAACCAAGTGCCTGACAGATGTACAAGAGAGGAGACCAGGCGGAATACCATATCCTGCTGGATGAATGACCCCTCCTATCTCTGCGAGATGACCGCCGGCAGTTAAGTGTGCATGATGTCATTACTCACATGCGTGACGACTTCACGCATGTGCGTAATAACGTCACAGATGTACGTGATGACGTCCCGGCATATGACCTTATCCTACATAATAAACTATTACTATACACTATCCTGCATAATAGCAGATCAACAAAAACTGACAGGTTACATCAAACAGAAGCAAAAGAAATCCAATTTAGAGAAATCCCAGTGTATATGATACAATGAAATTACAATGTAATCACATGTGTCTTTGCAGGGGGGGGCAGTAACATTGTAACACACAATCAGAGGGACAATGACAGTTCAGTAATACCCTGTGACTGAAGATCTACATCCAGCTCTCCCCCCGTCCTCAGACCAGTGTCATCTCCTCTGACAGGCCGTAGATTGCCATGCACCGCAGCACTTTGCCCACATCAAACATGGCCGTCCATGACATTGCCAAACATGAAACTTCCTGCTTTGCTGCAAACGCCAGAAGTGCCAGTCACGTGAGCAGGTCAGCTGATTTGCTACCCAACTGGGTTGGCCACGGGGCGGGGGCTGAAGGTGACAGGTTCTTGCCCACATGCAGCTTTGTTTGGTAGGAAGTTTGTCCCTCTGGCCTGCTGTAGGTTAGGAAAGAGGAGAATGTAGGGCAAAGGTGGCCAGTTGTACACACAGGGAGCTCGTTCTGCTGCTGCTGCTGTAGGTAAGCCCTGCTATGGCTACACGGACTGCAGTGTGATCTGCACAGGGTGTGCGATAGGGCAGATAGTGATCACTGAGGGCAGGCAGTGATCAGTGAGTGCAGGCAGGGTTCAGGCAGTGATCAGTGAGTGCAGGTAGGGTTCAGGCAGTGATCAGCGAGTGCAGGCAGTGATCAGCGAGTGCAGGCAGTGATCAGTGAGTGCAGGGAGAGTGCAGGCAGGATTCAGGCAGCGATCAGTGAGTGCAGGCAGGGTTCAGGCAGCGATCAGTGAGTGCAGGCAGGGTTCAGGCATCGATCAGTGAGTGCAGGCAGCGATCAGTGAGTGCAGGCAGCGTTCAGTAAATGCAGGCAGCGTTCAGTGAGCGCAGGCAGAGTTGAGGCGGCAATCAGCGAGCGCAGGCAGAGTTGAGGCGGCGATCAGCGAGCGCAGGCAGAGTTGAGGAGGCGATCAGCGAGCGCAGGCAGAGTTGAGGGGGCGATCAGCGAGCGCAGGCAGAGTTGAGGCGGCGATCAGGAGCGTAGGCAGAGTTGAGCCGGCGATCAACGAGCGCAGGCAGAGGTGAGGCGGCGATTAGCGAGCGCAGGCAGAGTTGAGGTGGCGATCAGCGAGCGCAGGCAGAGTGCATTGATTTCCCAGCTTAGCTGTAAACTTCTTATCCCCTGGATTTAACCCCTACATTACCTGATTGTTACAAACCATTAGTGAATACATTACACAGCCCTCTGTACTTATGGCAAGTTTACTCTGTCTTATGGGACTGTTGTTGTTCAGTTCTGTGGCCTGTGAAAGCTGGCAGTAGATGATGTGCCATCTATAGAACAAACACTCCACTATCTGGGGAGAGAATATATTTTCTGTGTGTCAGGGTTCAGATGACGGTAATCTTAGCTCCAGCAGAGTTGGAAATCTGTAAATGTTTCATTAGGGAGTTCTATGTAGGTCGCAGGGCAACGTCCATCTGCAGCACAGCAGCCCCGCTCTGACTCCGCTGGCTCCAAACTGCTCATAATTTTTAAATAAATTGTATCTAAACCCCAAAAATAAAAACATTGGAGGGGAATTTATCAAAACTGGAGAAGCTGTGCATGGCAACCAATCAGCTTTTTTTTTCATTTTCAAAGCCTAACTGCACAAACAGAGAGGGAAGCCGATTGGTTGTCATGTCTGCTCTAGTTTTGATGAATTACACCCCATGTATATTTTGGGTGTAGATACACCTTAATTCTTCTGTTTATAACTTAAAGCGGAAGTAAACTCTACTTATAATAGTCGGCAATTGCTGGGTTTGAGGAACATCTGTATCCTTGCTAAAAATCATCATGAAAGGAAGGAGCTAGAATTTGGAATGGGGCTCATAGGGCTTTTTATTATTATTTTGTATACACTCCCTGTAAAAAAACCAAGGTCACCTGAATATTGCTTGTAGTTTGCATTCTGCACCTCCTTTTCCCGATGCATATATAAAGGGACGGACTGGGACAAAAAATCGGCTGAGCAGCCCAATCACACGACCCAGAGAGTCTAGTAAACTAGTAAATAGAAGGAGGGCTACAGCCGGCATACAAGCCTTGCAACAACCAACATACAAACCTTGCAACAATATAGGAAGCTTGCTACAAAGAAATCTTGAGATATCCCCAGCCATCCTCCACACCCCAAGCACGGTGAACAAGTCAGCGCGGGCTCTGAGGCGGTCAGTGCGGGTTCTCAGCTGACATCAGCTTATCAAGACATTTTAATATTTGCATAACTCCCAAGAGCCAGCCCACTGCTGCATCCTGTATCCGGGCTGAGGGCTCTTAAGAAGAGTACTGAAGCAGGGTGCTGTAATGTTTTCAGGAAGCTATGTACAGCAGGCTGATCCTGGCTGGTGGGAGGGGCCAGCAGGGGGCTGTACATAGCTTCCTGAAAACATCGCAGGACCCTGCTGGCCCCTCCCACCATCCATGGTTTGCCTGCATTGTACAGAGAAGCACAGAGACCCTGTGACAAAATCGCTAGGTCTAAAGTAAGGTATGTCATGAAAACCTGGAAAAGTAATATTTAAAAATCTCATACACATGTTGATGAGGAGTGGGCGGGCCAGGGAAACCTTTCAATAGTGGGCTGGACTTACAATTTGCCTTGTTTCTAATTTTTTTTGTAGATGTTTGGCTCTGTCTAACTATGGAGAATCATGTGTTTGAGTCCCTGGAGGAGAGGACCTTCCAGTACCAGGAGTCTCTGCCTCCCCTCCCTGTTCCTTCCCTGGAAGAGTCCTTGTCCAAGTACTGTGAGTCCGGTATGTACCCCTAGTTTCTGGGTATGGCCCAGGATATATATGATATCTTAGGAAACAAGATCATCATTATAGTAGCAGTGGACCAGTTATTAAAAAATTCAGGAGCTAATAAATCCAGTCTGGTGAGTCAGAAACATCGGCTTAAATATAAAAATATAGGTGCGGCTGTGACTGGTTTTGGCTCCTTGCGCCAGTATAGGTTGCAGCTACTTGGTCTGCATGTAAATGTGGAGAATAATATAAAGCAGGGGTAGACAACCTCAGCCCTCCAGCTGTTGTAAAAATACAAATCCCATCATGTCTCAGTCATGCAATCCTGTCTGTGGCTGGCAGAATCTTGCAGTTCCTCATGGGACTTGTAGTTCTACAACAGCTTGAATGCCGAGGTTGAAATATCTGAATGCCTTCTTAGTTGTCACTGGAACAAGTGTCCCCAATTGGAAGATTCCCCTCTATTCCTATTCTGGTGACTGCTCAGAATGATAGATTGTTTAGATCTTTTCGATTGTAAGAGGTTGAAATAAAAAGTTCTCGTACACTGAATATTAGAGATGCACCGTTACTAGTATCGGTGCCAAGTATTTGGGCGAGTACTCGCCCAAATGCTCTGATGCCTTGTCCGATACTTCCGGTAGCAGGAAGCCGGGCAGCGCGTCATTACTGATTGGCGTGGAAGCTGGCGAGGGAGCACTAAGGACCAGAGGTTTAATGTCCGTTTAATTGTCATACAGTATTTTCCTTCATTAAGTCTTTTCACCATTGCGGTGGCCATCTCTCGTCTCATTAATATTGTCTTCCCTTCTCTATGCAGTTAAACCTTTTTTAAATGAACAAGAACATGAGAAGACTTGTAAAATTGTGCAAAATTTTGAAAATGGAATAGGCCAAGAACTCCACCAAAAACTATTAGAAAGGGCTAAAACAAGAAAGAACTGGGTGAGTACTTGTGTAACCTTGTAAGCTTAAAGACAAGCTGGTATACTAAATAAAATGCATTGTGCAAGAGCAGGGATCATCTGACCTCCCATAACAGGTCTCCGGGGTGTGACAGGAGCTCTCTGAACTACTGTTTCTGAAATTCTGTTTCCTGTAGTGCTGGACAATGGCTGTGCCTTGCTGATTCTTTTATCTCAAAGCAAATCTATTCCAGGACAGGGTCTGACACACCTACAATGCTGGTCATAGCCAGAGGCCATGCGGGCTGATTTATAAATCTTCCACCCAGCATATAGCTGTGAGAATGCCGTCCGCATGGCACTAGCCTCACTAGGTGGCGCAAAGGAGCATAGGCATTATGCTGCTCTACTGCATCTAGTGGTGGTAGTGCTTGGGTAACGGCATTTGCCCAGCTATATGCTGGGTGGAAGGTTTATGACTCAGCCCCCATGTGATTGCCCGGGTTTAGCTTACACAAGGGAGCTCAGCACCAAAAGGTTTGTTTTTGTCACTTTTTTACACAAAGTAATAATATGATTTGGTAACACTAATGTGACTTATTAATTCAGTTGAAGCATGAAATTTAATGATGATTTCATTATATAAAACCTCTAAGTATAAACTATAGGGGACACTATCGGAATGACAAAAAGCAAACCAGCATTGTGTGACACCTTTATTGTAAAATAACATAGACTGGTAGCCAGATATATCCCTTTTATAAATTTGTCTTGTCAAATTAAAAACACCCGGAAAGAGAGCCGACTGCTCGACCACCTGATAGACTACAATCTCACATTTAGTTTACTAATTTGTAGTCCATCACAGGAGTGAGCTTGGAGCGGTGACTACTTTACAATACACACAGGGACCATGGGGAACAAAAGTAGCCACCCTCCAGAAGGAAGGACAGTGTCAGCACCAATTCAGAGATGGTTTGATGATCTACAGCCGAGTGATACACAAATACGATACATTTTTGTTAATAGTTAAGGTACTTGAATGTATTTTTAAGATTTAATTCCTGATTCTACTGTCAGTTTAAGTTTTCCTATCTAGCAATATTTATAAAACCCTAGTGGGGGGTTGACAGCAGACTCTCTGTACAGTGTTCCCAAACTGCCAGCTTCCTTCTTTATTGTTTACTTTTGTGTTCCCTGTTTGATTTACCAATTCTTTTACATCAAATTAGTTAAGATTTGTTATAAATTCAGAAATGTATCTGATTTTATAATTGCTTGTTGGTTGTATTGCCTTAGAAATAAGTCACACATTTACTAAGAGGATATATGCGATGTGGATGCATATTTAATGTAGATGTGTTCATGTAGAGTGATACAAGACCTTCTGTCCCAGGCTCAGTGCCGGATTATACGGCATTATAAGTAATAACCCAGTTTAAAGGCGGATTTACTTACCATGAATCGGCT